ACTACAACTACCTAGCAACAACTAAAAACATCAGTGTGTTATCAACATTATTCTCATACTAAATCCAAAACACAGCACTATACCAGCTACTAGAAAGAAAATTAACTCTCTCTCAGCTGAAACCAGGACATTGACCAAGACCAAATCCAGATGGTTTGTATTATTAAGATAATGTTAGCATCTTGCGGGGCACAGGAAGTATTTGCAGCTGCAGTAGGTTATGATATGCTGGGATACAAACCTGTCTTTAGTGCCATTTCTGACCTACTGGCTAGAGTGAGCTGGGGGGAAATTCCACTCTGAAGGAGAATAATATTTTAAAGAAAGTTGGAGCAAAGGAACTGTTTTTCTTCATATCAACAAGCTTTTTAGGGCAGAGGTCATTCAAAATTAGCCAGACTTGGAATTTTATTTCCATGTAGTGATATTTAGCCTTCCTTCTCTTCAAAAAAGGTTGACTAACCTTCCATGATGCAATTAAATGTCCTTGAAAGCGTGTGCACTTAAGTAGAAGGAAACAGACTAAGTAAATGCACTGGAATGGTCTCGAGGAAGTACATATGGCTGTCTTCTTTTGTCAAGAGGCTCCCTCTTACTCCCACTGATCTCAGTTATTGATCTGAGCATGTTCTTACTACTATTAGCAGGAATTTTTTACTCATCCATCCCACTGACTTCATTATTTAGATCTGTACCTTCTCTGACTGACACAAAACATTTTTTAAACAAGTGTACTGAGAAATCTCAGTTTCAAAAAAGCCCTAGTTAGGATTGTGTACTGGTTTGCACTGGGATAGAGTTAATTTTCTTCACAGTAGCTCTTACGATGCTGTGTTTTGGATCTGTGACCAAAACAGTGTTGATAACACAGGAATGCTTTAGCTCTTGCTGAGCAGTGCTTGCACAGCCTCAAGGCTTTTTCTGTTTCCCACCCTGCCCCGACAGCAAGTAGTCTAGGGGATATCCCATACTATATGACGTCATGCTCAGCAATAAAAGCTGGGAGAAAAATGAGAGAGAGGGGACACTCAAAGTGATGGCGTTTGTCTTTCCAAGTCATCGTTAAGCATGACGAAGCCCTGCTTTCCTGGAGAACACCTGCCTGCCCATGGGAAGGAGTGAATGAATTCCTTGTTCTGCTTTGCTTTACCTATTAGTCTGTCTTTATCTCAACCAACAAGTTTTCTCACTTTTACCCTTCTGATTCTCTCCCCTATCCCACTGGGGGGCATGAGCGAGTGGCTGGGTGGAGCTCAGCTGCCTGCTGGGGTTAACCTACAACAGATTGCTGAGTGGCAATAGTACCATATCATTTACAACGTCAAGCACTTAAAAGCATGAATGTTAAGAACATCAGAATTCATACTTGGACTACTCAGGAATATCTCATTTTCATTAGATAAGGGCAAAGGGATGACACTCTAACCAATACTAAGAAAATTATTTTGCAAGGCAAAACTTCCTTCTCTGAGATAGATGAGGATATGGCAGTAACCACAGCATAAGCTGAGAAGAACAAGGACATATTTTAACTGAATAGAGAAAGAAAAAGGCCATCCCCCATGTATATGAGACGAAGAATCTGCAGGGTCAGGAAATGTGAAGACTTTTATGAGTCTGAAGACGCAAGGTTAGGGCCTGAAATGACATGGCAAATGGCAGTTCACAGTGACTGAGAAAGGTGCAATAGGGAGAGCTTGTGGGAGGAGATGAAGAAATTTGCTTCAGCCATGAGGAGCTAACAGAGTTGGTGACCAGACATTGCCAAGAAGACATCAGTTTGTGTTTTCAGTTTGAATGGAAGTGGCTAAGTCTGGATCAGAAACAGCCCTTGAATTTGAGCCCTGCAGTCAGTAGGTCAGGTAGGTTAAGGAAGGGATGGAGTCTCTGAGATCTGTTTGAGGAGAAATCAATGGAGAAATTGGCACAAGCAATGCCAGTGGAATTGCAGCAGGCAGCTCAGCACTGAGTCGGAGATGAACTCCAGGCAGCAAAAGTAAACAGCACTCTCAGCATACTTACAGATAAGAGGGACAAGGGAGGTGAGATAGTAGTTGTGGAAGCAAACAGATTCAATGCGTGTTTTCAAAGTGGAGGGATTAAACACACACTTGTTTTGAGAGGAGGGAGAAGCCAAGGCAAATGACAGTGTACAGAGAGGAGTAGAAAAAGAGGTAAGCAAGCACCAGGGAAAGGGGAAGATGGAATAACTTGTTCCGCTTGCATCCGTTTTGCAGATCAAAACTTCACTAATTTGGAAAGCGGTTTATATAATCCATAAAAACGCATTTTATTAGCTTTTTTTTGCTTTGAATCACTGACTTCTAAAGAATGAGAACAGCCATAAATGCTATTGTCTCCACAGGCAGCAATTTGGAAATAGAAGATGCATGGTTACATGATAAGTGTATTTTCTTCATAAAAAATGTTTGCAAATCAGGTTTAAAATAAGGGGAAAATAACTTGAAAATATTCTGCACTTCAGAAAATAATAAAATGTCTTCTTATTTTCCCCTGGTAGGCCACGCAATGCAGATTACTTTATGCAGGAAGCTAAACGGAAGAAGCATAAAGCAGATGCAATGGTGAGAACATTTTCTTTCCAGTTATGTTGCTCCAAATTATTTTTGTAATGCAGTTTCTTCATCAGTGCAGTATTGCTGGGGTAATTATAAAATCTATTATAAGCATGGCTAGGCTTGTTAAATTAAGAAATGTTTATATAATCAAATGTTCATAGCCCAATAAACTATGACTTAGCAAATAATGACTTACTGAGATAAAGGCCTGGATAAATAAAACTTTCCATTTATTCCTTTGCTTTAATTAGTAACTATAGTAATGGAGGCTGTGTAACGGATCCACATACCTATCTTGTCAGTTTAACTAGCTGGCTATGTCCTATAATTGTATCCCCAAATTTGGTCTGGTGGCTGAGGTATTTTTACTTCTTTTAAAGAGCTTTGGCTTTTCGGTGCCAAAAGAATCCAGGTTTCATGGCAGACGTTTCCTAATATAATCAGAAGCACGCAAGGAGTCTGTGTAACCCCAGAGGAACACCTTGCACACAAAGGACTGTTGCAACAAACTGATTCTTGGCCCTGGCTTTGACCTGTCTAAAAATGTAGCTGGTAAGACCCTCCTGAGAAAGGGGAATGCGAGGTTATATGGACCACTAAAGGGATGCTTGTCTTCCCAAACAAATGGGTGCAACAAAGTACGCAGTGCTCCGGGAGAGCTCCGCTTAGCCATCTCTCAGCTTTCTCCAAGGCTATGTTTGTCCAGCACTATGAATAAGCCAGCACTAGGCCTCTGGGATGGCAGATGCAATATATGGGATGGGCCCCTGCATTAATGTGGCCGTCTCACAGGTGGGAGTAGTTGCAGTCCTGCCTTGCCCTGTCATACAACACTTTGTTGTCACAGCAGCAGGAAAGAAGAAAGGTAACTCAGAGCCTCTGTTTCTTCACCTCTTTTTCTCAGCTGTACAGAATGTAAAAAGGCCAAAGAAGCAGAAGCAGGCCTTAATTTAGGACACTGAGTTTTACACTCTACCTGAGTTTATAAGTTCAAATTTCCATGGTTTATTCAGTTCCATTTTACTCTAAAGTGAGTCTTAAATCAGAAAATATTGTGGAGAAGTACAAATGGTGCATTTTAGTGTGTTGCTTTAAACAGAATGGAAAAAATCACTTAATATGCAAAGGAAATTCTTAGCCTGAAGAGAAATATTTTTATGCTAGACTTTCAGAAACAGGAGGTGCAAGCATTATTCTCCGCTCTGCCACAAGTTTCCTGCACGCAAGTCACTTAGGCACAGTTTAACTAGCGTCCCATCAGTGTTACATGATTGAATCATCCTTCACATTCAGCTTCTGTAAGCAGTGGACCAGCACCTTACTTACACCTTGTGAATAGCCCTTTGCAAGTACTTCCTCTCCCTCCTTAACTGCATAGGGACCCTGGAGGAATTCCCATATTGCCAAAGTGCCTCCAGGCACTTTGAATCACCTTGCTGGGCTCGATAGCTCCTACTTTGGCACTGCAATACCTAGTATAGGCACTTAGAGTGAGCAGCCTGAAAATTACTCTAAGTCTCTCTGCTCCTTAGTCCCCCCATCTGTGAAATTGGGATAATAGCACTTCCACTCGCAGAAGAGCGTTGGGGAGAAAAATATAATAAAAAGTTTGTGAAGTTCTCTGGTATGATCGCAATGGGAGTCATATAAGAACCTAAAATAGATTGAAGCCAGTGTGCCATTCCAAAGTTACTATTTAAAATCTTTATCCCTTGGAAAAGAATAAGGTCCATTAACCTTTCACTGTGTGCATCAGATTTCAACCAAATGCATCCAGTCCATTAATGGGCTTTATGTACCGCAGGAGTTCTGTCTGAAGGAAAAAGAAGTCAGGACACAGAGGTATTAGTATGACGCACCTCTATCCACATCAAAAAAATTCTGAGAGCAGATACGTGGTATGTAAGTGTACATATATGAGCATTATGTGCACATTTGCATAAACACCATTGTTGAGGACATATATGTATGTATATCTGTATAAGTACACACGTACACACACAGAGAGTCAAAGAAGTACTGAAAACAGGAGAAGAAATGGGGCAAGGGAAAAGGATGGCAGGAGAAGCTGAGGGAGCAGAGCAATCCCTGAAAGGGGAAGAGGATATAGAAAGCAAATTCCTGAGAAGAGGAGAGTATGGTCAAGCACTGATGAAAATGGTAGGGATAAAGAAGACATGAGAACAGAGATGATCCTTTGAATAAGAGAGTTAGTAGTCAAAGTATTATTTCTGATTCCCTTAGTTCACAATAATCATTACCTTTCTTTGCTGAGTGATGAAAAACTACATTTGCAAACATATGTGAAACCCTTTTTAATGAAAGCTGGAGCAAAAGGCCTGATGAGTTTGTGGAATTTCCAGCACTGGAAGAGCTTTGACAAAGATCTGTCAGGAATGTCCTAAGCAGAGTCGATCCTTCTTTGGACACATGAGTGTGGTCCAAATAACATTTTGTAGCCTTTTTCAGCTCTACGCTCTGTATCTTACAATTTTCACTGATGCACAGGGTTTGATGGGGTCTAGCTTTCTCATAGGAAAATTTGTGAATCTGAAGATATACCAACTTGCATCAAGTTTACAATTGACATTGAGAAAATCCCATCAAATGTAACCATATCTTGATGATTACACTATTTCTCTGTGTCCTTATTTTTTCCCTCTAGGTGGAAAAGTTTGGAAAGGCACTGAATTATGCAGAAGCAGCACTATCGTTTATTGAGTGTGGAAATGCAATGGAACAAGGCCCAATGGAATCTAAATCCCCCTATACAATGTATTCAGAAACAGTTGAACTCATCAGGTAGGAAGGGAAGAGATGACCTCAGGGGTTACTCTGTTTTGTGCAAACATGCTCATCTATATTATCGCGTAATTCCCTAGATACAGTAAAAAGGGAGAAGTGAGGCCCTCCCAAGTGCCTGGTCAGTCATATATAATATGTGTGTATTATCTGTGATTTCTATGGAAATTAAATCAGGAAACTGTGTAGAATGAAAAAAAAAGAAAAAACCCAAACCTTTTCATATTACTTGAGTTGCAAATTTCTTCAAGAGTTTCATGGTATAAGTGCCATGCTACTCAAAAGGAAAAAATAATAATGTATAATACCAAACCATTCTCATGGAGTGGTAGTTTGCAGACTGTTACAACGTTTAGGACTGCAGGTTAATGGTTACCTGAAAGAAGATTGAACAGTGATAGAAAAATGGACACTCAGGGTCCATTTGGTGTGTATGCCAGTGGAGTCCCAAAAGCAGTCCAGCTCACACTACATTTAGTCACCTTCATGGCTCTTCAAACAGGACGGTCTCAAATTCAGTCCCACCCTCAGTCCCTATGAAGAAAGTTTGTCTCTTATCTCCTTTCCTCCTTTATAGTTGGTACTAATAGATAATATTATTGACAATGTCGGTAGAGAACACAAAGGTCAAAATCATCCCAGCAGCTGAGTGACTCTCTCTGCCAGAGAGTGAGCCTGGACACACTCGCAGAGAAAGCTGCACTGCCAGTGACCACGGCATCATTCCTCAGGACAGTCAACCACGCAGCTCTTGTCAGGACTAAGTTCATAGGAAGTAAAACATTTTAATTTTTAATCATATTCATAGTGGAGCAAAGCTTCTAAAACAACTGCATTCTTTTGGATGTAGTGTTGATGCAATGATTTTTTTTGCACGTTAATAATTCCATTGGCATTTTATTCCACTTAGGGCTGTCTTCTCATGCATTTCAGTGGACTGAGGCCAGCTTTCTAACTGGAAGGTTATTAAACAAAACCAAGTCTTTTTTTCAGTAAGAGAATAGTACACCTCATCTCTGCAATTCTTCCTTTTTTTTTTTTTTCAAAAGGCAGAAAGCTCTTTCTTTGTCTGCCCTGTCTTTTTTCATGGTAGTAAATATGTGGTCCTCAGTCTGGAAATGAATTTTGCTTGCAGATCCATAGCTTTCAATAATGTGTATAGCTGTGGTTGTGTTGTAGTGTGACTTGCTGTTGATCTCACTTGCTGCAGCTCAGAAAAATAAGTGGTTTACTAGGTATGCTTGCTGAAACAAAACATTCATACCGAATCTTTGCACAGGTATCAGCATTAAAGTTTGAAAACAAAGATAAGAAAAAACACAAGCAGCTAATTATGGGGAACAGGTATTTTTCTGGAAGCAAGCCCAGAAGTGCTATGTGTTGTCCTAACCTTGTCCATTGTTCAGGTATTCAGCTGGAAGCTGAGATTTCCAGAAACTAATTTGTGATTGCATAGCACATACACTCTTGAAACAGCAGTGCTACCTCTGTGGATGTTTAATATTTATAGAATTTGAATGTAATGTCATATGAGCAAAAATAGCTCTGAGCCACATGTTCCCCCTCTGCTCGGCTCTGCTTGGAGGAGCAAATCTGGGTAGACACGCTCAGAACTGGCAGGGTGAGGGCAGCACCAGCTTCAGGGCAGGCTGTCGCCTGCCTTCAAACGCTGTGAAAACCTTTCTGCATGAACTCTGTGTAACTGGGTCTCCACAGCAGCAGAGGTTATTTTGGTAGGACAGCAACACCTCACCAGCTAGGCTCCCGTCTGGACTGACGGATGTTCAACGGAGTTACTGCTGTTTAAAGAGTGCAGCGAGGCACTGTTATTGGCAAACTAGCTCCAAAACACAACCGGAAAAACATATGCATGTTTGGTAACTTGAGCAAATATGTATAAGGGATCAGATCAAATGACATCGGCCAGCTTAGCTCTCTGATCAGTAATATAAAGCCGTCTCAGTTAACTCACATTGGCTTTTTTCCTTTTGCTCAAGGTATGCAGTGAGACTAAAAACCCACTCAGGCCCCAACGCCACACCAGAAGACAAACAGCTGGCAGCATTATGGTTAGTAGATCAAGATTTCCTCAAAAGGCTTCTTTTCTGCAGTCAGCCAGTTCTTGAAAATCAGATGCTGGACGCAGCCAGATAAGATTATGTTGTCTATTGAAATTAAGAGAATACTTTCTGCTCCAGGAAGGTCCAGCCCTTGTATCACTGTACCAGGTCTGCATTCTGCCTCTGTAAATAAGCAATTCATACTTATTGACTGTGACAAGTCAGCTATGGTACGTCAGCATAATTAATTTTTAAATGCCTGATGGTTTGTTGTTTTTATGAGTGATGTACTTTTATACCAATAGCTCGGTAATTTCTTTTGTGACTGACATTTTAGGCTCAATAATCATAAATTATATTTACATTATATGAAGGGAGATATGGTGATGCTGATAATTAAGCCTCTTGGATTCCCTTCTAAATTGAGATTTCTAGATATATATGCACGCACCTTAGATTCTATAGGATGGTTGCTGATCGCTAGTAAAATACTAAAGTGTTATTAAAATCAAATTTTAATTTAATATCTACATAGTTAATACATAAAATACCTATTACGTGGTTACTGATTCTCAGTAAGTGGACATTTACAATCAGCAAGTGTATTTTTAACATCTATTAACCATCTGTTAAAAATCGAAACGAAATGCATCTTTAGCCTCCATAAATAAGGAGTCCTAATTAAGCATTTGTATAAAAAAGAACAAAGTATTCAGAAACGCAATTTTTTTTTTAAATGCCCTTTCTTTGTCACTGGTTTGCTGTGCCGTCGGGAGGAGCACAGAATGCATTCACGGCAATTGCTTTAAAAACGCTTAGGTGGGAAAACGACTAAAGAACAGTTAAAAAAAAAAAAAGAAAAGAAAGAAAGAAAGCAAGCCATATTACGAAGGGTCGCTCAGAACTGCCAGAGCGCTTCTCTGCGTGCGGAACGGCATCCAAAATTCACGGAGCCGCTGCATCTGTTTCAGCAGAAAAGGTCAGCGCGAGGGAAAGCAGACGGTGCCTTCTCTGGGCGATGAATTGCAACCCTAACTCACCGTCTGCCAGCCGGCAGATGAGCTGACACCATTTGCATATGCGCTGTACCTGTGAAGGTGACAGAGTGAGAGTTATGGTGGCTGCGAGGCCACCGCATCCCCCGGCTGCTCCCAGAGCCCGCCGGGCTGGCTGCCAGGCAGCCGGCTCACCCGGCTCCCCTTCTCCTGAGGTGAGACTGTCCTCCAGCGGCCAAAGGCAGAAATTCACCTTCTGCCTTTAGGACAGGAGGCAAACCGGTGGAGAAACCCTGGCTGGGATTTTTTTTTTTTTCAAGAGTAATTTGCTAATTCATGGGGTTTGCTGAGGTTTGGGCAGCTCCTGGGTCTGGGGAGCACTCTGGGCTTCCAAACTCAAGCCATCTTACGGTGCTTCAGGCTGGCTCCAAGACTAAATACTGCTTTTAAAAATAAGGCCTCTGCTGCCAAAGGAAAAGCAGAACACACCAGATTTTTGCTTTGAAGGCTGTGTTAATGTGGGGCAATCCCACACTTGCTGATCAAAAAGCTTGCTAGAAAGAGTCTTGATTCAGAAAATAGACCGGTGCACCTGAAGCCGATAGTGAAGAAAAGAGTTTGTGTGTCCTGAATGCTGATCGTCAGTTATTGTGATGTATAATTATAGTTAATAGCTATTACTCTCATTTAATTACATAGCATTAAAGGTGTGCAGCACTCTGCAGACTAACGAGGAGCACGAGGGCAGACAGTTCCAGTACACCACGTTGAGTTTTTCAGCCCACTGCTGCTTTCCTCTGGGGAAGAAATCGGGGTGGTGGCCTAGGAATAGCCTCTGGGCTCCAACACAATCCCCGTTCTGGTTTCCCACAAAGGAGCTTGGTCAGTGAAATCTGTGCAGGTCCGAGGTTTCCATTTCCCAACTATCTCCAGCTGCTGGAAGAGACCAGTAGGTGTACACAAAACACACCTGGGATGACTCTAGTTCATTATACAGACTCCAGGCTGTTATAATAAAGTCCCAGGATAAGATATCCCAAAAGGCTGCCTTTGCATTTACAACAAGAAATGATAATAAAAAAATGCCTCAGTTGGGTTCCAGGCCTGTAATGACCTTTTCATGGGACAAACCTGCAGACTTCAAGCCAGAGTCAAGACTTGGGAACCCCCAACCCTGCAAATCCTTCAGGTTATGGTTTGTTTAGTACCTCACTGGTAGCATTTGTCAGTGTGACCTGTTCTGGCCATAATAACTAGTCTTGCTCATGAATCCATGGCAAAGTGTGAAGTACTGTAAACAAATGGTGATAATAACAGTAAGCAAGGTGCCATCAGCCTTCGACTTCATGTTACTTTGAGTTTAAGATAATTAATTGGGATTACTGTTCAGGGGGCACCCTTTACCTTCTGCTCTCCCTTTTGTTCTAGTTACCGCTGCCTGGCTCTTCTGTACTGGAGGATGTTTCGACTCAAGAGAGACCATGCAGTCAAGTATTCGAAAGCTCTTATTGAGTATTTCAAGGTGCAATCTTTATTACATGTTTTAAAATCAGTGTGTCATTACAGGAAATAGGGCTTCTTACTAAAACAGTAGCTGTGCTGGGATTATTCTTCTCCTGTGAAGTCAGTGGGAGTTTTACCATAGACTCCCATGGCGACATCTGATTCTCTAGTCAGTTCTTTTGTTTTCACAAGGGCGTCTCCTTGCAATATACACATCATGTCCCTTCATGAAGAATTAGAACTTTATTGTGCTAACAGGTATTTTCAGATTAGTCTTGGTCAGATGTCCAGTGCTGTCCAGCTCTGTTGCGAATAGGTTTTGCAGATTCCAAACTGGAGGTGTTCAAGGCCAGGCCAGATCGGGCTTTGAGCAACCTGGTCTAGTGGAGGGTGTCCCTGCCCATGGCAGGGGGGGTTGGAACTAGATGATCTTTAAGGTCCCTTCCAACCCAAACCATTCTATGGTTCTATGATTTTGCTCCAAGTATCCCCTCCAGGATTACACTTCCCACTAGACTACCTGTGAGTTGAAGACTTTGATCTAGATCAGTCCTCAGCTGCAGGGCTTCCGCTTAGCAGCATCGATAGGTAGGACAGTGCAGTGGGACATGTTCTCACCCAAGAAACTTGCAAACAGCCCACGCTGACTTCAGTGGGAGTTGTATGAAAGCCTTGGAGGGCAACCAAATCACCTGCCACGTTCTTGACACGGCACTGGTGGTTTCCCCTTCGTGCTTTGCTTTTCCTGCTATTGCTTCTGTTTTCCACTCTCTGCCAGGTCCAAACGTTGGTTATGTGGAATAAGACAGGAAGTCATTCATAGTATTTTAGTACATTTTGACAGGGAACCTTTCTCTGGAAAGTATCTCAGGAGCAAAACCTTTCAGGTGGAGCCCACCTAGCAGTCAGTCCATCCAGCATTTGATCTACAAACACAAAATTAGCCTTCATCTTTCTAATTAAAAAATATGAACATACAAGTGCTTTAAAACAAACTGTTTTGGAGGACCCAAACAGCTGTTTGTCTTTGAACGCAGGGCTCATCTGTTGGTGGGCTTTTTTTTGCAGAGGGAGGTACCTTGAAATGAAAAACATCCATCCTTTGACGTTTTGTTAATAAAAAAATTCAAATACAAGCACGAATGCTCATGACCAGATTCTGAACACATGAAGACAGTGAAGGAAATTGACAGATCCGTTATTGTCAAACTGAAATTGAAGTCACTGTAATTGCTTCTAAAAATTTAGCAATATATAATTCAACATGTTATGTTTCTCTAACAATGACTGGATTTCAGGGGAAAGAAATATGTGCCTATTACAGCACTTTATTTTTCTTTACCAGTTCAGAGAATACCTGCATTAAGAACAGGATGGTCAGGCTCCCAACCATGTAAAATGTCTCCTACTAACAGGCAGAAACTGTTTCACAGCAAATATAAAATGGACTTATACTCTGCTATAGCCAAAATGAGCTTGGGTTTTTGCAGAGCTCCTTCTGATATAATGATAGCGTAGGTTCACGTTAGAAAATATTCTCACCTTTGAAAGTAAAAATGGGAAAAAAATCCATTTGCTATAATTTTCAGTGGAAAACAAGCCAATTCTCCACTCATTTCATATTTGGTATCTAAAAGCTTTCAAAACCAAGTGACGTGAAATGCTGACTGCATTAAGAACTTCCACATATATTATCAATCAAAGAAAGATTTTAAACCTTGTCACACACATTTGCAGAGAAAATTAGACACAGTTTTCTTTTCGAAAAGAAAAAAATTATTATTTAAATCTCCTTTTAAGTATTTTATTTCCATTATAAAAAAAATTAGCACAGCAGAGAATTGCAAAGAAGCCACAGATATTCAGGGGCCAGACACATTTGAGAGCATAAAGAAATTAGGAGACTGGGTAGCAGTAAGCAAAGTGGGATAAGAGATGGGCCCTTACAACATTACAGTCTTTAGAATCCTTACCCCCACCTTTCTGATGCAGAACTGAGAGGAAGCTGGAGTAATATACCTAAAACACGAGAAAAAAGATGTGGGAAGTTGCACAGTAAGGCAGAGGCTGACTACTATTACAGTGGAAGTATCTTTGACTCCATTTCAATTTTCATATTTTCCTGCCTCCAACTCTGTAAGCAAATAACATGTACTCAGTTTCCATTACACCAGAAAGATGAAGGCCAGGAGCTCTGAGACAGATCAGAAATGAAAAGAGAAAAAAAAAAACCAACCTGTTCTGTAAGATGAGCAAATGCCGAGGATTCCCAGGTTGGTTCTATTTAGGATGGTAAATGAGAACTTTTCATTTTTTTCCTTTCACACCTTACCTCTTCCTGAAAAAAAAAAAAAAAAAGCAGCCCATTGAAGAAAGAACCCCCTGTGGGACACCACATAGCTTATTTTTCATACCACTTAACAGGGACGTAGAAGGCCTGGTGTCAAAATGCAGGAAGAACGGCAGGGCACAAACAGCACTGATGGCATCACTGCTAAAATACAGCCACTGTTGGTGTGCACATGAAAGATGTGGGAACACAAGAGGCAGTTCAGAGGACACATCAAAACTGAGAAAACAAACTTTTTGAAGAGATGCTCAGGAGATGTGCCCCGCTTACTGCAGAACAGGTTAAGAGAGGATGTGATCATTGTGCATATGGAAACAGAGCTGATAATACCAGGCAACATGCAGTTTTGCTGGCATGGGACCAAAAACACCCAAAAGCTAGCATTGAAGTTAAGAAAATTCAGTCTTGAAACCCTGAAATAGAATCTGTTTTTCTAACTGGAGACCTGCATTAGAACAGGACACAGGAGAACAAGGAGTATAAATAGTGTCTTAGGATTTCTATATGACTAGCTATGTTTTTTAAAAAGAATAAGATAAAATAAACTTCAGACAATATTCATAAATGGATCTCAAGCTGCAGGGCTTCACTTGGTCTCCCGTGGTTGTCAAGAAGGGAGAGTTGTTCTCCAGCACACAATTATCTACATGTATGGTTTCAGGGGAGGATGCAAGCAGGTCACGTTCCACTGAAGAATCAGAGGCTGGCCATTGCTGAATATGAGGCTGCGGATGGGATGGACTAGAAAAGTTTTTCCACAGGTCAAACAGAGGTCAGAGAGGAGTTTTTCCACAAGTCAAACGGGCAGGAACCTGCCAGTAAATTCCCACCAGCTCTTGCTGATTAACTACTAGAATCATTTTAGCTATTTAGTTTCCATTATTGTGGACACCTGAATTTTTCCTGCTCTGCAAAGGTAGTCTCTCCTCAAGCAATGGAATTCTTTAGCCTAAGCACAGTATACCACTGAGAGTCTTAATGACTGCAGGTGTACAAGAGATCACACTAAATGATGTAATGTCCCCTTCTGGGGACATTCGTCAGCTAGAAAAACCACCAGTCTACAAGGGCAGTCTCTCTGGCCCTGTGAATGCTGCTGTATTCAGACGAAGGGGAACAGCTCCAAGAGGAGGAATCATGAGAGAGGTTCTTGAGTCTGGTGGTTAAAACACCCACCTGAACGGAGGGAGCCTCAGGTTCACATCCCCGTAGTCAGCCAGGCTGAGCAGACATGTGGAGTCTCGCAGGTGCTAGGGGAATGGCATTTGTCTTTGGGGGCAAGAGAGTGGGAGGAAATTCTTCTGGGTTTCTCTATCACAAGACATTGCAGCCTAAACCTCACAAAGAGTCCTAGCAGTACTTTCTTCTGACCTCCCAGGGTTTCTGTGAAAAGTTTCAGTTTCAACTAACATGTTTTCCTAATCAGTTCCCATCCCAGGGTGTTTAATAGACTGTGATTTGAGTCTGTGCTGCAGCGCTGCTTCATCACAGCACCAGACTAGGCTGAGTGGGTTTATTGCATCATGAGACTTGAATACTATCTGCACAATTTTTTTTCTTTACATTTCTTTTTTTTCATACTGTTTAATATTCTTCATTTCATAGTCCTATATAAATTATATGCATTGTGAATTATTTTTTCCTCTATAGAATTCATCAAAAGCTGCCCAGAACCCATCTCCTTGGGGTGCCAGTGGAAAGTAAGTTGCACAGAAACTTATATCAGATTAGCAGTCAGAAACTGTCTTTTCTTACCTGCAATATGTTCTAATATTCTCATGTTTTTAATCCCAACACCTTTTAAGTAACTGTATTAACATCTGTTTCCAGGAGCACAGGAACTCCATCACCCATGTCCCCTAGCCCTTCTCCAGTCAGCTCTGTAGGATCCCAGGGGAGCACAGGGGCCCCTTCCCCATCTCCCATCATCAGCATCCCGCAGCGCATTCATCAGATGGCCGCCAACCACGTCAGCATCACAAACAGCATCCTGCACAGCTATGACTACTGGGAGATGGCTGACAACCTGGCCAAGGAAAACAGAGGTGAGTGAGTCAAGGCAATAGGCTATTCTAGAAGACTGTCACATGATTTTGATCAGGAAAATAACTATTTTGATAGGAATCCTCTCTGCAAAGTAGAACTGCAGAGGTGATTTTTTTTTCAGTCTGTTCCAAAACGGCCCGAAAAGGCAATTTTGATAGCTGTTGCACTCAGAAGCATCTGATTTTTTTTCTTTATTTGCCTGGTCAGGACTGGTGACAAACAGGTCACAGACATAGAATCATAGAATCATAGAATGGTTTGGATTGGAAGGGACCTCAAAGATCATCTAGTTCCAATCCCCCTGCC